TGCTTTGGTTCTCGCTGGCATGGACACAGCCTAGCTTGTCCTTCCCAGCCTCGTCCTTTCAGCGGCTGTCAACTTAATTGGTTGTCGTAACTGGCCAGTATGGTGCTTTTAAAAAAAGACCGAGCAGTCACTCTTGGAGCACGAAAAGCGCCAGCTGCCTTGGAGTGGCCGTTGGATTTATGGTTTTGTCTACCTCTCCGACTTTCATGCCATTTGATGCAGTCCTCAGCGCAAAAGCACATTGCTAGGATTTCAGCGTTGTCTTTGTCGATGGCTGTCCTCAGGTATGTCCGCGGTCGACGACGATATCACCGATGTCATGCTAGGCCAAGTCCGAAAGACATAAATGAATAAGTGTTGTCCATACGTCAATGTTATTCATATAATTGACTGCTCAAGCGTCATTGCCAATCCTTCCTGTCGTATGCGACGTCATGATAATGATCACACTGTTGACCGCTGACCTTATCAGTTTTCGGTGAGATCTAGTTCTCCGCCTTTTTGTCAGAATCTCCGAGTCTGACAAAGAGCACAGGCGGACCGAGGCAGAGCGGACAGACAAAAATTGCGACGCAGCAAAAAAGAAGGATCGAAGACTGCTACCGAATCGTTTGGGTACGCCGCCATGTCCGAAGAGGCCTAAGTATATGCATTCAAAGAGGGCGTGTACGCATATTTAAGGAATATACGCCCAGAACAAGGACATCGGCAGGTTTCTCTGTCCCCTTTATCAACTCAAAGCTCCTCTGTCCTAACCCAATTTGTCCCAGTGATGCTAACACAAGATTCAAAATCCGTTCTACGGGTGACGGGCGTTCACTAAACATCTCCAGGCGTCTTCAGCTCCGATGAACCAGGTACATGTCTCCTGCTGCGCACTTTTCGTCGCATTGAAAGAATAAGTTCGAGTTCATGTCGTTTCCAAAACCCCCTTGGCTGACCTTGGATATATCTCTAGATTGGTCCCAATCATCCGAGCTGGCCAATATCCGAGTCCACTCTATGTGGAAAGTGGGGGCCGTCGGCACAGGCAGAATGTCGGTTCTCGAACTTCGAGTGACAATTGGAAGTTCCTTTGATCTACGAATCGATCGATCATACATCGACAGTGGCTTTCGTAACGCGACGCGTCGACGCGTCGCGGGAGCGAGCTTATTCGGATAACGCAGGATACTGCAATTGACTTTTTTAACAATAGAATATTAAGGGCCAAAAAACCCAAAATTATTGAGGTTGACGGGAAGGCTGATTACACTCATGTCAACAACGGTATTATAAAAAATAAACCTGTCTTATTTTTAGAGCGTATACAACGGATTGGAGCATTCGTCAGACCCTAAAGCTATGAAAATATTGTAGGGTCCAGAGGGCAAAGATATGCCGGCTTTCCCAAGATCTCCCCGCTCTACCGTCATTCTTCATCATCCAACAGGCTGACTGCCACCAGTGCATTGCCTTGTACACTAACAGCAATGGAGATGTCAAAGGCACTATCACTTTCCCGACAGTCAAGCTGTTTCACCGCTTTTCATTCCACAATTTACGGCCCTTTCATCAAGTCCTCGCGGCCTCGGACACTGTACCCTGAGCCATACTGTTTACGGAGAAAAGGATCCCCCATTTTGTCCGGGCCGTCCAAAGTGAATACGATTTTTCAGATGAGGAGCCTGACCTAGCCATTTAAGGTATATTCGATACTTCACAGGAACAGGGATGTATAGGATCGGAGCGATTGTGCATGAGCGCAAGACATGCCCGAGCGCAATATTGACCTTCAGAAGGGAGGAACGGGACAGATTTTCAGCGAACTTGAATAACAAAGTTCAAAGTCAATAAGAACGTCACGTTTGCCGGCGGCAATTGCTTTTGCCCTCATACCACCACCTCCCCTGCGCCCTTTGGTTTCGTATCCTATCCTACGACGGCCGTCCTTGCGCTGAAGCAAAAGGCCGCCATTTTCAACCCTGTTTGAGTCGAAATTGCCGACAGGAAACTGCCGTGCCGGTTCCTGCCTGCCAGGTTCAAAGTTGTCACCTACCAACCGCCACGGGAGAATGCTAGAGCCAGATTCGACGACCGCATCTACTTCGCTCGGCGAAGAGATTCTCGTCCCACCTCCGAAGCAGAAGCGGTCGAGCGTCGCTTGCAGACGATGCCGTCGTCTTCGAGCAAAGTGCGTCAAGGACGAAGAGAAAGGGCGATGTCGCGGTTGCATCGAAGCAGGCGTGCCTAATGAATGCCAGTTTTTGCCGCGAGGCATGAGTGCCATCGACAGAGCCGTCAGTTGCAATCTGCCTGTAGAAATGCCTGCGCTAACCTTCTTTTTCATTCCTTTTATAGCCCCGACCACCACAGAATCGAAAGCGGCAGACACGTCCCAAGGATCTTGATGGGTACGATTCTTCTGTTTTCTTCACGATGGGAACGGATACTCACTCTGCTATAGAGGACACCGTGCCGATGGTTATGATGGCGCGAAGGCGGGACCGCTAACTCCTCAGTGAAAATCATCCTATCATATTATCACCGCAGAGGCTTACAAATGCTTCAGGAGCCCTGTCGAACGGTTTTGTGAAAACTGTTCACAGTCGTTGACCTCGAAATCCCTTTCCCACCAGGATCTGTTCGTGCTACGTATCTCCATACCTTCCCACTGATCTGATCATCCTCAGGCTCCCTCCTCACGAAGAACTCGTCGAAGCGTGCGAATGGTTCTTTTCCACTTATTTTCAGCTAGGTACGACATCAATTCCCGCCTCATTCATCGCTCATGCCCAAGCAGGTTTCCTACACAAACCAACTTTTATGCACACTTTGCAGACCTCCCCACAATCTCTGAGCACCTTTCTCCTCCTTTCGATGCTTTCAGTCTCGGCGAGATTCACTCCTACCCTGATTCAGCGGTATACAACACCGGTCAACGCTGCCAATACCTTTGCAAAGCGCGCACAATCATTGGTTGGCCAGGAGATGTTGGCCGCGGCTTCCCTTGACCGAGCCCAGGCGTTCTTCCTGTGCAGTATATGGAACTGGGGAAGTGGATTTCGGGATCGTAGCTGGATCTTTCTCGGCATCGCCGCACGGATGGCTTCCGTCCTCCGACTTTCACAGGAAGAATCCTTCGACCTGGGCCCTGATGCGACCGTGGAGCAGATAATCAACGCCGAAGTATCTCGACGGACTTGGTGGGTGATCTTCATGAGCGATAATCTTTTGAGCTCCGGATGCGGGCGACCCATATCGTTCGACTTGGACAAGGTGACGATCCCGCTACCCTGCGACGAGGATCATTTTACGTTTGGATACAATGGACCAGCGACGGTGATGGAGGGCACCCATGCGCGACCGCGGCTAGCGCCGCAGTCCCGTTTCCCCATTGACCCGCAGTTGAGCAGCGAAATTACAGACACTAGCTCCACGAATGCCAATGGGGGTGATCGGTCACTCTATGGTAACTTGGTCATAATCGCGGACATATGGGCTCGAGTAGCAAGGGGCGCGCTGCTGAGATCAAAAGCTGGACCTACAATAGCACCGTGGAGAAATGACAGCGACTACGTTAAGCTGGCCACCGAGTTGCAGAACTGGGAAAGCAAGTTGACCAATAGACAGACGTGGTCGCTGTCGAATCTCCTAGCGTATCAGAGCAAGAGCTTGGACTTGGTATGCTTCTCTCATATAATACTGCTGTGCTTGTATTGAGCAATGTTCTAAGGGTTACCGATGCATTTTCTTGATTATGCACTTGTCGCACATCGTGCTGCGTCGGTCATATCTACCAATGATGGCGCGGGACGTCCATGCGTCAACCATTAATCCTCCCAATTATCGGTCTGAAGTGGCACCTCAGAGGTTCTGGGAAAACGTTGTTCACGAAATGTTCGCCCATGCGCTCAAGGTGATCGAACTCGTAAAAAGCTGGGTGCCAACTATGCCTTTTACTAGAGGCTCAACGCCAATGATGGTACGGTCTTTGCTGCACCAGACGATGTTCACTCCTTAACCATATCATTTAGGGCTTTGCTATTTACATGTCGGGGTCTGTATTATCATACCTCAAGCGTTGGACTTGGCGTGAGTCCATTGCGTATCGGTCTTCCATCATCTCATTTTGCTGAAACTATCTAGTTTGCCCTCCATTAGCCGAGTACTCGGGGCCTGCTATTCAGGAGGCGCTAACACTTCTACTGGAGTTGGCGATAGTCTGGCCCACAATGGCAGAGCGATGGCATTCCAGTCTAAAAGATGCATCTTTTGCCTTTCCTCCCCGCCATGAGAATCCGCACCGGCAGGTCGAAGGCTTCGGATCTGCTGCGGAAGAGGACCTTAGTACCGACGATAGGGAGGGTATGTACAGGCACAAATACCGAGGCAGCCTTGAGGAAGCTGGAGACCAAGAGGAAGTGGGTTTGGATGAGTCAGCGATTCAAGAGGATGCTAAACGTCCGCGTCCACGCCAGCCAATTCCTCTTCCCGACGGCGTGCCAAAGGAAGAGACCAGTCCGATTCCACACGGTGCAGACATGCTGTATTCCCTGGCGACGGCCGCGTCACATATACAGCCCCCGGCTCCATCTGGAGGCGTACCATTCGCCAATGGTGCTCCGAACGGATCTGTCCCAGCGACCTGGGTTAACTACCAGGAAGACCTTGTCACTTTATTCAACAAGGATGATCTTTCATCGCACCTGGAATACAGTGGCGATGGCTGGGCATTTTAATAATTTAATATGGATGATACCCTTCGCTTCACATGGTTGTACATGAATGAAATGTATTTGTACTTTCGCTGGCTTAATTTTAATGGTCTGTCAAAGCACTCAGCCCTTCTGCAGGTTCCATACGATGGATCTGTGCACAATAGGGATATCCCACACCGGATGACTCTGAACGACAGTGATGTTCCTTCCTCCCTCGGCAAATCTTACGATGCGGCGATGGGCAATCGAAGCCCTCAGCTTCATTGAATTCAGCATTCTAAAGTAGACATTTACGATATCTGCATTAATGGGGTAGTGGTAACCTGGGTCGTTGCCATTAAAGTGACCGAGAGCGGTATCGACCCGCTGAGGGTTCAATTCCCTGTAATGTAATGATAGTTGCAATCATGACCTGGTCTTTTGTATACACCACTATTCCTTTATACAATCCAATATAAGTTGTTTTGGTCAAATTGGGTGCATGGGATGTAGATCTTGTACAATGTATAGTATATACCCTATAGATCTATATTTTTATCTTGAGGAAAACTATCTGAAGCATCATACGTACAAAACTCAAGGTTGATGGTGTCGGGGCCCGGCCGCGATCTGCAGCAACGCGTCGTGATCGACTGGCCCTATTACTCCGTGACCATGAACCAAGACTCACCTGTGCATATTGTATGGCCACATCCAAAATGCGTTCAAGTCGTTTGCTGGTGGAAGCACACTAAACTCCACAAGCTAATCATATTCGCTGTTCCTCTAGTACGCTTCACCGGCGGGGCCTATCCTGTCCATCAGAAGTCACCAATGCCCCTCAATACGCGAGCGGTCTTTACTGTGGAAATTCTACTCAACATCGCTCGCGGGTCCTTGGGAGGGTTCTATATTCCTTCGGGTATCGACCCAGAACCACGCAAAAACAACATTTTTCGATTCACCTTTCATGGTCAACACCCTGAAAATGATCAAAAACCCGGGCGTCGGTTGTCCCAAGAGGAACTCTCGATACCGCTGAAGGAAGTGGCAGTAGGGCAAGCGCTATGGATCAAGGTCAAGGGGTATGCACGCCATGTCATTGCTTCAATATGCCCCATCTTTCAACTATTCCTTATAGGAGCTCGCCGCCCACCGCGAATTCAACCCGTCCTCGCATGCAATCGGCCGTCGAGGATAAGAGCAGTGCAAGTCAAAATTCTGGCACGTAATAGCAAAGGGCGCTAATTTCCTACGTGTCTTTAGCATCCCAGCAATGTAAGACTTTTCTCAAACGCGGTATCATAATTGAAGTCTTGATCTTATAGTGGGTTCCTCATATTAAACGACATCATCCAAATGCTATAGCTCGCTGCCCCTTCACGGTATGCCTATCGCCAATAGCATGCCACATCATCGAATGCGGACAAAACGACCAAGCATATGAATTAATAGCGAAACTTTCAAATGACATCAGCCACATCTCCTGTCCTAGGTCGCCAGGTGAGCCTGGTTTTTTAGATGTCCGGTATCCTATACCGAAAAAACTGTCTTATCATGATGCGTTAGCTTCGTTGTCATTGGTGGAAACGTACACAAATAGCATGGCCCTGGAAAGGCAGTTCCACGAGACCTACCAAAGATATTGGTAGTTAATCTACCGAGGGGTAAGCATCTTTCCGGTGTCGGTGTCTTTTTAGATATTGACCCGCGATCAATAGGAAGCCCTTTGGACGTATAACAAAGTGTGCCCTGTGTTCCGGACATATGGGTGGAATCCACAAATGGTACCGGCAGAACGCGATGCCTACCGAGGTGAACGAAATCCCAGGAAGATCAGAGACCCCGGGGATTCCCAACTTCACGATTTGCGAGCGATCATATCTTTCACCCACTGTTTTGGCGCCTTCGAGTTTTGGCATGTCATAAGAGATGTGGTGGGTAAGCCACCACCAAACAAGAGAAAGACAAGGGAGCAGGAAGGGAGCAGGAAGTATGTGCGTTCAGGCGAAGAAGAAGAAGAAGATGATGATGAATACGACGATGATACGGAGACTGATGATGACGATGCCTTCTCGGACAGCGACTACGATGATATTCTCTTTGCTCATGAGCAAGAGGTGGCGGATACTGAGCGGCGAAACATTACAGCGCAGACGATGCTGATCTGGCTGGCGAATTGCTGGTTCATCCAGGCTAAGCCGTACGATGCTGAATCGCCATAATGGTGAGAGAATGGTCACCATGATGATTGCGAAGAAAAGAATTTATTTGATATTTTCCTTGCATTTCTGTCCTAGTTCCTTTTAGTACGCTGGAAAAAGAGAAAAACTGACACACCTCCGGAGATTCCCCCGGTTATCAATCTTCTTGTCGCCTTCGACGATATAGACCTGCCCTCGAAACGGCTTGCCGCCACCCAGAGGAGCATATTTTGAATACGCCAGCTTCAGACTTCAACTTCGTCCATTCTATCATTCTGGTATCGCCATCCGACTGAATGCGATCCAGCACCCGCCTGCAAGCATGTCTTCAGGATCTTCGCTGCCTCAAATCAGCTGTACTTATATTTTGCCGAGGCTTGGAGAGAGTGTAGTCAGTACAAATGCCCGTGTCATCGTCGAAATCCGCCAAAGACCTTGCGCTAAACTTGGAACCTAACCGTGGATGCGTCATAGGCCTGTTGCTATTACAAAGGCAGATCAAAATGCCATGGCATTAATGGGGTAGTGGTAACCTGGGTCGTTGCCATCATAATGCTGTGGGGTAGATATCGACCCGCCGGGGGTTCGATTCCCTCTTAATGCAATAACATCCAGAGTGTATAGTTTTTAGTTTTTATGTCCTCTCAGCTCCGGTCCTCCGGAGTCCGATTGAGATTCCTCAGAGTTCTCAGCTGAGTCAGAGTCTGGGCCCTGGCCCTGATAAAGTTATACTAAGTACTAAAGTAAGTACCTTTAGTACTTAGTTTCAACTTTCAACCTCCATCTAAGGGTAGCTAGTGTGCATGCCACAGCCTGCTCTTGCATAGTAAAGATTCTAAAGAATGTAGCTGCGTATTTCTTTTTCAATGAACACATTCAGGTTTTCGCAGCACCAGGAAGGTATAGGTAGTGACTTGTTTCGGCTCTTGGAATATTGCAAGTCTCTCGAACGTCCAACGTTGCTTTACACGAGGAATTACACCATCTGTCTGATAGCTTAGAGCACCTATGGTATATTTACAACCCTACTACGCACAGCAATACAAAAAACTACAGTTGACCACTAGATAATTCCACAGAAAAGAGATATAAGAGCAGATGCGGTAGCACGGTATTAGGATGGTATTAAATTAGTTGTATACGCAGGCGGGGTTGTTATCCAACTCTCCGAGCGCGCCTCCCTTGCACTCAAGCGCTTCTGAGGATCGACGCACACAATCGTGCGCAAGAAAGCACAGAAATGTTCGCGTTCAGTGCTTGCAAGGGATGAGGCTTTCCATACGCCCTTAACGATCGCCTCCAGAGAAGTCATTTGGAGCGGGAAGGGGCATTGGAAGGTTCCTAGAAGGTACGCGTAAGCAAAGTGCGACTAGCCGTCGGAGAAATAACTCACCGTCTGCATCATAGAACTCTGCCCCCCGTCCCTTGGTTCCGGGATCCCTCATCCACTGTGGAACCTCGGCAACCTGCTCGATAATCTGCAGCAGGTGTATCTGAGCGGGGGTCATAGCCTCGTAATCTGACGTGGGTTGGAAGAACGGGTCAAAAAGCGGTCCACCCGTGGCAAACTCGTACACCAGGCAACCTAAATTCCAGATGTCGATCTTCTCATCCCAATTCAAACCCAAAATAACTTCGGGTGCGCGAAGGGCATGTGGCTGAACGTTTGACGAAGGGTGGCGTTTGTGAGGAAGCTGGACGGCGTGGCCTAGGTCTGCTAGGACGAATCTCCACTCTGATTGGTCGAGAGAGAGGGCATCGGGTAAGGACAGGAGGATATTTCGTGGCTGGACGTCGGTGTGAATGAGGTGTTGGGAATGAAGAAAGTCGAGTGCGGCCAAGACGTCGTTTGTGATGCGTCTCACGATGGGTAACGGTAGCCAGCGACTGCCAAGGTGCTGTCTGAGATCGCTGAGAGTTGGACCGTGAAGAGAAAGTACAAGACATGTGGACGGAAATGGGGCGGGGACGGGGCGAACAGGGAGCGCGGCAGGTAAGGAGACTCGTCTGCTCCGTTGTCGCTCACCGAAAGTGAAATGGTCGAGCAGTCTGACGAGCTGGTCTGGCGGGTGATCCAGTCGCAGATGCTTCGACAGTTCGCGAGTCCGTTCACCCGCTGTCGTGAGGACCTTGATGGCGACTAGGTTCGATGCAGGCGGCGAGAGATATGTCAAGGCTGTATGGAAGGAGGCGCCGTCGTCGACATCGACAACGTCCTCTTTACTATCCGTCTGTGCCAACCACACCGTCGAGAATCCCCCATTCCCCAGGGGCCGTACCAACGTGTACTCCAACCCACGGCCCAGTACAGTCCCAGGCGATAATTCCGGTGCCTGTGTAGGCGAAGCCGGCTTGGGTGGGCATGTCCTTGAGGGCGATTTTTGCTTGGACGAATGAGTGAAACGAATGGCGAATTTGAACTTGAGGGCAGGCGTTGTAAAGAGAGGGAAGAGCTTAGGGCGTTTGCTGGACTTGGTGGTCATTGGTGAAGCTGCGCATGTGGTCGCTGGGCATGATTCAGTTGGTGAGAATTCATGATAGAACGGTCAACTGGATCAACTGTCGAGTTACCGTGACGGCAATTGCCGTTCCGAAGAAGCCGCCACTGTCCTCTTTGTCTTCCTCTTCTCTCGTAAGGGACCCATCACTCGAATTCATTCTCTTATTCTCTCCCATGCTGGTAAGTCCTTGCCTATGCAGATCTCACTCTGGTTTGCTAAATCTGAATCACGCAAACAGATCGCCGTATCCTCGGACGGCGACTATATATAAAAACAATGATGAATGGTCCGGAGCTGGTGTTGCGCTTGTAACGATTAATAGAGTCTAAGCGCATAGTCTAGAACTTCGCTAAGAGTAAAATTAGTTTATCCTAGCTGGTAGACTCACTCAGCCCAAGCTTAGGGAATATCAATCCACAGCTCAGAATCGTACCATGAGAAACTGTCAGTGGAGCAGCTATTTTCTGCTTCTCTTTACATGGCGTCGGTATATCGTAATCGAACAGACAATCAATGATGCGTGATCCCGAGTCCAAGAATTTACCGTATGTCCGCGTCTTATAATCACCGACTCCTTTCGGACCGAGCCACTGCATACTCGACGATAAGTCCGTGTGGTCGACAATCAACTCTATACAATCTAATTATAATGAACTACGAAAGGAAAAGCTCGGAGACGTCGGAGGTCCCATGAACCGCCGGGGACTTGCGGAGGATGGAAGCTGAAGTCTTGAATGGAGGAGCTACATAACTCGGGCATCGTGAGTTGGAGATATACCTTCTTATTGGAGAGGGGGACATTGTTACCGTCTCCTTGAAATTGGGGAACATACTGAACCTAAGGAAAGCACCATGGAAACAGGTGACAGGTTTTTGAGAGTGAATGTGGCGTAATTGGACATTATCGACTGGAAGCATCATAGGCCTGTCGACTCGTGCACCTTGAATTATACATGCCACGTTCTGAATTTGTTGCAAATTGTACTTCCAACTTCCAGAATCCAAAGGAGTCAGGACTGACAGTTACTATGCTATCACGTGATCGTGTCTATCGTTGGAGAGGACATCGCAACAATAGACAGTCTGCACGAAATAATTACTGCGCTAGGTCTTGCATTCACAGCTAGTCAACTCCTCAACGGAGCGTGCAAATATTTAGACGATTTCCTATATAGTAGTAAACAGAGAAGCACATAGCTACCGACGACTCCCAAGTAACTGCAACGCAAGCTCTTCATCGTCCTCAATACCTCCAGACTTCCGGTTTGGAGTGCTCTTCTGGCGTTTCGGAGGAGGGGCTACAGAATCGTCCTCATCGTCGGAGCTCAAGTTGAACGTCGGAGAAACATAACCGTCATCCTCCGGTAATGGCTCCACGACAGGTCCTTCATCCTTCTAAAAGAGACGTGGTCAGCACGAAAAGAAAACGACTAAGTGGGTCCACATACCATCTCCCCCTCCCTCTCCCTCTCCTTTCTCTTCCTCTTCTTCTCGCGTTTCTTCTCCCTCGCCTCCTCCTTATCCACAACATCCGCAATCTTCATCTTCCCCCTTTCACCCTCGGCGTACTTCTCCCCCTCCTTCATCACGCCCTCCATCCCGCCCCTCTCCTGCACCCACTCCTCCGCATCAGCCACCCCATACGCCTCCCTCGCCTCGCCCGCATCGTTGAACACTATCTTCTTCGACGAGGGCGCGTTCAGGATCAACGTCCGCTTCGCCCGGCCGAGCTTGAGCTTTCGGTTGGACAGGTTGTCAATTTTGACGAGGCTGAGAGGCTCGGCGGACGGGTCCTCCTCGAGGTCGTGGTCTGCTCGTTTGAGGGTCATAAAGTCGTCATCGTCGTCCCCTGGCTCGCGGGAGACGAGCTTGTTGTAGTGCTCTGATAGGACGCCTTGGTTTTTTCGTTCGAACATCCGATCGTATTTCGTTCGTACGGTATCAGTCTGATGGATGGTGATCAGTTGAGGTGACCTTGGAAAAAAAAGTCGGTGGTATACCTTGGTTGTCGTCTGTTCTAAAACATTTTCTTCTTCTTCGCTCGATGAATCCTCTTCCACCTCGGACCCACTGTTTTCCTTCAAGGCCTCGGCTGTTGCTTTAGCAGCCGTCCGATCAGCGTTCTTCTTCTTTTTCGCCATCTCCTTGCTGAGGAACTTGATCTTCGGCGTGCCTGGAAGGCCTAAAGATTCCGCGAACTGATCGACAGGTAGTTCCGATACTTTGAATATGGACTTGTCTTTGTGCAGGTAGACAGATCGTAGGTAGGACACGAAAGCCTGCATTCAACAACATCAGGCATTGGGGGGAACGTCTTTTGGGGATGAAACTCACTCTCTGACCGAGGTATTTAATCTCTGGATCTTGGAATGCAAGGTTTTGGAGTTGATTGTCGATGTTCTGTGTTTTGCTCCCTCGGACCTTGAGCTTGTCGACGGTGATCGACTTTGTTTTCAGAGCGGCCAGCATGCCTTCTTCTTCGCTTGGCATCAAAAAGATGAGGCCTTTACCCTTGCTCTCATACCGTGCGGTTCTACCGACCCGGTGAATATAGGTCTCCGCGTCTTCCGGAGCGTCAACCTGCAAGACCCAATCCACCGACGGAAAATCCAAGCCGCGTGCAGCAATATCGGTCGCAAACAACACTGAATGTTTGGATGTAGTGAATTTGTTATACATGTTAAGTCGCGCAGTCTGTTTTTGCTTGCCGTGCAGGTGAAGGAGGGAGATACCGGGGTGCATCTTGCAAAAGGTTTCGTAAACGAAGCGAACCTGCTTACAGCTGGACAGGAAGACGAGGACTTTGGATTGTAGATGCGATTTGATGAAACTCCAAAGTAAAGAGAGCTTTTGGTCCAATGTGCAGACGAGGTAGTGCTGCGATAGATTTTCGGGTGTTGCCATCGAATTAGAGGCGCCTTCGGCATCATGTATGCCAACATAGACAGGATCCTTCAAGCTCAGTCGGGCCAGGTCACTCACTGACTGGGTCTGAGTAGCGGAGAAGAGCAATGTCTGTCTAGACTTGGGAAGATGGGCAAGGAGTGCGGACAAAGTACGAGAAAATCCCATGTCCAAAATTCGATCAGCCTCGTCCAAGACT